AATTGGTTTGGGTGTTAGTTGCAGTCGCGGTGGTCCTCACTTTATTTCAAACTCGTTCTGTCACAGTATAACCGTCACTTCCATTCATTACCCTGTCCCCCACCGTACTCGGTACAATTCATTCATTTCTCTCGTCAATCATTTTTCTTTTTCGCACTTTCTTGTTTCTTCTGGTTTTCCCATCACAACCTTGCAAGTCCGCCAAAAAAATGGAGACCAATTTTCTCGGGGTCCGGGGAGGGCTTTCACCCGCCATGAATGCCCGGAAAGAAGAACTTTCCGGGGACGATGAGGAGGAGACGTTAGACGGCGAAGAAGAGGAGGAAGACGAAAAGAACGAAGAGGGGAGGACTGGGGAGCTTCATTTGTTGAAGAGGAAAAAGAAAATAGATCTGATGAGTAGAGTCGGAGAGTTGGGGAAGAGGGCCGGCGGGTCGAGTTCCGGCGGCGGCGGAGGGGTGGCGCCGTCGGGGTGTGTGGTGGAGACGTGTGGCGCGGATCTGAGCTTTGCGAAGGCGTACCACAAGAGGCACAAAGTGTGCGAAGTCCACGCGAAGGCCCCAGTTGTCTTTCTCAAGGGCGTTCCCCAGCGCTTCTGCCAGCAATGCAGCAGGTCAGTCCTCCCTTGGCTTTATTTATTTCATTAATTAATTCGTAAAGTTCTTTTTTTTTGAAGGAAAATTCATAAAGTTTAATGCATAAAGTTTAATGTTTTTTACTCCGATATTTGTTATAGGTTCCTTTTTTTGACAGTGTATTTGTTATACAATAGTATATGTTCCTAATTAAACACGAACTATGAAAATACAATAGGATTAAAATATGGACATAAACAAATAACTATTTGTAATTAGGGAAAATTCCTCAAATATGAGAAAAAACGTTTGAGACTATGAAAGAGTATGTTTAATTTCGAAAACTCTTTAGAAAGTCTCCAAAAAATTGTTTTTCAAGTAAAAGATGGCGTTTGTCTTTTTCTGTTTTCTCATGATTTTTTATGTTTCCATGCAACATATTGTTTGTGAATTCCAAAATATGACTACTATGTTACAAACCTAAAATAATTAAATTCTCAATTTGATTTAATTAAACTAAATAGTAATTAACTCTAATTAAATGATTGCTAGCATACCCTACAAATAAGTAAGTGTAATCTCTGTCTCACCAACATTGGTACAATGAGGAGGTGACGCGCTTATTAATGAAATTGAGTTTATGTGATCGATATTAAATTCATAATGTAAAAATACTGTAAGAATAATTTAGAGTTAAAATGCACACAAACTTTATCAAATTTTAGTAGAGACAATCTTAGTAGACGGACCGAAAAAGAAAGATGAGACAATTTTAGTGGGACCAGAGGAGACAAAGAAAGTACTACCTTCGTCCCCCTAAGTTTGGGACAAGAGAAGATGACACAGTTATTAATAAAAGTGAGTTTGTGTGGTTGATATTGAATTGATAAAGTAAGAATAAAGTAGGAATGATTTAGAACCACACACACTTTACCAAATAAGGTATGAGACAATCTTAGTAGGACGGACCGAAATAGTAAAATGGGACAATCATAGCAGGATGGAGGGAGCATTTGATTGATTTAAGTTATTATTATTTCATCATTTTTTATTTTTTTTATTTCAATTCCTCAATTGTACTCCCTCCGTCCTATTTCGCTTGTCTTTCTTTCCTCTTTAATAATCCGTAAGAAATACGGAGTATGTGCTAAATTTCATTTTACTTTATTTTTACACAAACGTGAACTCTACTTTTACGTTTTGACCATTTATTAGTAAGTGTACCAAACTTAAAGAAAATAACCACAATATTTGAGAGAAGTAATACTCATCCCATCCACAAATGAAATTTGAAATTCACGGTTTGACCTACACACATATTTAAGATAGAGTTTTGTTTTGACTTTCCAAGTACACCCCTTACTTTATGTCAAATTAAGCAAAAAAAATGGATAAAAAGTAAAAGTAGTTGTGACTTTTGGATTAAAAGTGATTTTTTGTTATAGAAATGAGAACTTATTTTTGTGACATCCATAAAAGGAAAATTGGAACTTCTTTTTAGGAGGGAGGTAATACTCGGTAATATTTTAGTTGGTCAACATGAAAAATGCTCGGTATTACTGACTGGTATTGGCCTTCTGATTATCGAAAAATAGACCTTTAACATGGCTGTGTGTTCAGATTCCACGAGGTTACAGAATTTGATGATTCAAAAAGGAGCTGCCGGAGGCGATTGGCGGGGCACAACGAGCGGAGGAGGAAGGCGTTGTCGGAGAACCGCGGGGAGGGACCCAGTCGGAAACAGTTTGGAGAGGCTGTATTGAATGGCAGCGAGATTGACGGAGACAGAACGCCCGTCACCTACAGAAATTCTCCCCACAACAATTTCCACATTCATTGACCTGGAACTTCCATAATCCCTACAGCTTTGCTTATTAGTACTTGCTTGCTCTCTTCTGTCATTATCAAGTTAGCCCTCTTCTTTAAGAATGAATTGAACAAATATGCCTTTATCTGTTCTAGTATCATAAAATGTAATGCCGTGGCAACTGCCAAGATGAGCTACATACATTTGCTTCTGTGATTGTGATGACCTGTTTTTGGGTTTAGCCCTCAAAGAAACTTTAAGCGCTCATTTATTGACACCATCTTTATATAATACGTACGGAGTAGTATAAAGTAGAAGAGTTTGTTACTACTTTTGTAGGGAAATTTGCCGCCTAAATTAGGGCATAATGGGAAATTAATGTCAAAAGTAAACTGCATGTGGCCCATGCGTTAGTCTCGAAGTTATTCATTTTGGTAAGGGAGTGTTTGCGGTTGATTAAAAAAAGCGTTTTTCAGCTTTTGGCTTAAAAAAGTTAAAAAGAGTGTTTTCAAATGACAGCTTCTGCTTAAATTAATCACTTAAAAGCTAAAAGCTGGAAGCAGGTGGAAGGGTGCTTTAAACTGCTTTTCACTTTTTCTATTACAGAAAAAATACTTATTTTATCAAATACTACCAAACTTTTACTTTTTCAGAATCACTTTTTCCTCAAACACTACCAACTTTTACTATTAATCACTTTTCCCAAAATCACTTTAAAAAATCACTTCTTTAAAATGTATTAGGATCTGTTTGCAACAGCTTCTATTTAAAAAAAATGTTTTTTTAATGAAATGGGGATAAGTGATTAAATAAAAGTTGATAGTGTTTGAGAAGAAAAGTGATTTTGAAAAGTAAAAGTTGGTAGTGTTTGGTAAAATAAGTGCTTTTTGTGTAATAGAAAAAGTAAAAGCACTTTTGACACGAAAGCCAAGAAAAATAAAAGTTGATAGTATTTGGTAAAATAAGTGTTTTTTTAAGCCAAAAGGTGAGAAGTGCTTTTTAAATCATTTGCAAACCAACCCTTAATGTCTTGCCAGATTTTAATAATTCCTAATAATAGTAATACCCAAAGGAATACCATAAGACAAAGACACATATGGAAAAATAGAGTAAGACAGACTAACATAATATTAGGAATGAACTAGTGTAAAGCCCGGGGCAATGCCCCGGTAGCGGTGTGTCAATTTGATATGTGTTAAAATGAAAAATACTACGGAGTATTACGTAATAGATATCGTGAATCATTCATAGGATACAAATTTTAATACTCCATAAATGCATACTTTCTATGATCTAATAATCACAAACAATAATAAATTTTTATTTATTTAATGACTATATATTAAATTATCCATCATCATATATTATGTATTTCTCTTTAGTCTATATCAAGGTTTTTCATTGCGGTAGCATTGCGATTGCGGCTATTGGAGCCATTGTAATGCTTATTGCGGTCGAGCAGTGTAATTTAATTTTATACTTCAACGAAATGAGAAAATAATTAGTGTTGATGTCTTGATACAATCCGAAATGACCCCGTTACGACCAACGTTACAGTTTCGTTGGGTTACGTAGTAGATTTTTCTCATGAATCGAAACCTCGCCTCCATTGCGATCTGATGTGATTGCGCTACAGAAGGAAACCTCAAATTGCAGCCGCAACATGTGTTGTGATCCCGATCTATTCCCGTTGCGGCCACATTTCGTTGGATTTGGTTGGGACAATGGGAGTACATTATTAATATTCTTGTATTTGTGCATAACTGAAGAATAATAAAAGTGTTATTTATGAAATTTTTACTATGAATACTTTGACTGTGTTCATATTATATGCATATTGTCATTATGTTTTTATTATATCATACAGTTTTACTCCCGATTTAAACTAAATGTGATAATGCGAATACAATAATTAAAGTATTGTATGAAATATAATTTACAATATGAATTATTTTTTATATTTTACGTAGTATGAACTTTGCATCGTGTAATGAGTTAAATAATGATTGTAAAATTTAAGTAATGTCAACATTTAGGCAAATTACCCTCTAAATAGGAATAAAAACGTTTGTATATTCTAAAATAGGACTAATTACGACCATATTTTGGCAGTACCAAACTTTAAACATGACAATATTTTTCAATCTTGGCAGTAATTACTCTTATTTTGGGGATTTTCCTAATACCAATGTTTTAGATTTTATTTTATTTTTCTTAAAAATTTGTCTCAAAAATGTAAAAATTAATTATGAAATATTTATGTTTAGATTTTAATCTACTTATAAAAAGTTTTGGGCTTTATTGACAAAAAAGTTTTAGGATTTAAAATCTTCAACAATTAGATCTTCAGTTTAATTTTACATGTGTAATATTGGTATCAAATGAAAGATCATAGGAAGTTACGAATTTCAATATGTAACACTTAAAAATTAGAGACTTTTCTCCTCCCTATTCTCCAAAAGAATTGGCATTAAGGTGAATAGCTAGTCATGGTCTCATCATCTCATGGACGTGAACTTGTGATTTTAATTCTTAAATTATTCATTATTGAGAAAAACTTGCGTATAATAATAATACAATTGTCATCATAATCACTATTATTATTATTATTAAATTTTTATTATTATTACTATTGTTATTATTATTATTACGGAGTATTATTATTATTATTACTATTGTTATTCTGATTATTATTATTACTATTATGATTACTACTACTACTATCATCATCATCATCATCATCACCTATATATGTTCATGTGTATATAATGCGTGTATTAGGATGATTTTAATTTGCTAGTTTGTTTCATTCTAGTCTGGTCTGTGTATGTCTAGTTTGGTTTGAACTGGTCTAGTCTGATAAACGTCTGTGTATTTTATAACTATGGAAGTCAAGTCTGGTCTGGTACATTTAAGTCTGGTCTGGTCTTGTATGTTTAAGTCTGGTTTGATTTGGTCTAGTTTGTTTATGTTTGGTCTGGTCTGCGACTTAAAATTGTCCAAGTACGTGAACACATCTTTAGAGTCCTATTAGGTGCAATTAAAGGGGTGTTTGGAACTAATTCTATTTCTGATTCTTTTTTAAAGTAGAATCAGAATCAGTTTTCATATGATGGTCTCCCCCAGCTTCTTAAAAACTGATTCTAGGAATAAATTAGAGCACCAGAATAACTTCTGCACTTTCAACCAAAACTCCAACTTCTGCTTCTGCTCCCTGAAGGAGTAGAAGTAGTTTTAAGAATCAGATTCAAACACCCCTTAAGAAATAGGTACACCTAATATGTATTTTAGGTGAATGTTTAAAAATATGTATTTAAACAATTGAATAAGTATTTAAAGAGTACCTATTTGATGAATTGATATTATACAGATTTTTCTCTATTTCTTTCTTGAGCTTCTTCTCTAACTTTTTCTCCAATTATTAATACACATTTAATTTCATCCTATTTTTTCTCTTGCTGCGTTTTACATTGCATAAATCTTATAGCAAATGTAATTTCAATTGATGTTTACACGTAAATGTAATTTTATAGCCATTCATGTTATTGCAAAAAACGTAAATGAGACGTAAATGTGTGGAACTAAAAATTAGATTCGATTGTAATAAATTTATATCATTATGAAAATAAACTTACATAAATGGTATTGCAAACGTACGTAAGTGGGACGTAAGTGAATAATTACAAAACGTTAATTAAACGTTATTGCAAATGTTATTTCATAGCCATTCCGGTTAGTTTAAATTGGACTTCTATTACAACTCTAACTGCATCATTCGTTATTTTAAATCAAATGTTTTAATATAGGAGTTTTAATATAACTTCTTTAGCGAATAAGGTTGTGACATGTCAGCCTTTTAAAACTCAGCTTTACTATTAAAACAATAGATACATTCGTATCAGGCGCACCTGACCATAATCCTTGTGCGGTCAAGCCCATTTGAAATGCTTTTGGATGTGAACATGTTCTCCAAAAAATTTTGAGCATGTTCTCTATAGATTATAGGTCTAGTTTTGAACCATTAAGATCATTCTAATCCAACATATTAGAATTAAGTCTTATCATATCTTAGACCTCTTCTGAGTTCAGACATGCATTATCATATTTAGCTATAAAAAAATCATCAATTCCACATTTCAAAGAAAGGTTAGTGACATGCATTTGATGTGTTGAGATCGGATTTTGATGGTTTTCCTAGCTAAAATGCGTCACAAGCCTCATAATTAGCTCAAGTAATATTTTACGGGGTTTTGGTTTGCATTTGGTGTTTTTAGAATTAAAATCAGGAAATTCAGTCGGAAGTCCGAAACCGACGTTGGAGAATTAATCAGGAGGACTCGAGACACATTTGAAATTTATTGAGAAGCATTGAAGGTCCACGATTCATAAAATGAGTGAGTTTGAAGTCAAGAGAGCTCAAGGATCAAGTATGAGATCAAACGGGGACGAAGAGAATTTGAAAACGGCGATCAGGATGATGTAATGTTAATCGTTCAAACATATCTATTTTTAAAAACATTCAAAGTACACAATTCAAGTTTTATATGAAAGATAACTTCAAGGGCTACAAATCATATGAATACACCATGACAAGAATCTGAGAGGAGCAAGGTGAAAACAAACAAGGAAGTAAGATAATCGCTGTTGAGATTTCAGGATGCGACCTTCCACCATTTTATTCATATCTTTTGATTGGATGATCCAAATCTAGTTTTTCAAGTTGTGATAAATAGAAGATTTCACCGGCTACAACTTTGGTGAAGGAAGAACAGTCAAATTAGAAACGGAAAGGGCGCATTCCATGCGCCCCGAAGTAAGAACGACGTGCACGGAAGAGAAAAATCATGTAGAGGCTACTGGAGGCCAGGCAAGTCGTGCCTGCCAGGGAGGCACGCTGTGCCCGACACTATTTCTGCCCTCGGGTGTCCTTTTTTTTGTCAGAATTGCTCCTTTTTCTATTTAAAAAGCCTATAATGTAACACCGTCCCCAAATGTATTTACTTTTAACCTTATGGAATGGTTAAAGAATTTATGATGTTACGAATTTTTATTTATTCTTTCGCACGAATAGTAAATTCGCATGTGGGGCCCGCACCGGGAGCGGGGGCCGCCCGATATTTCCGGGACCATATAATTATTCATCTTGGTCTAGATAATATTTATATGGTGGTGGATAACTCATTTGAACCATGGAAGGGTCCTGAGTTGACCGATCGGTCAAAAGAGGCCCAAATACCGGTATTGGCAATTTAACTGATAAAAGCCCGAAATTAAATTTCGGGGACTTATAAATTAAAGTTGGGGAATGAATA